TCTCTCTCTCTCTCTCTCTCTCTCTCTCTCTCTCTCTCTCTCTTTCCCTACATACATACATACATACATACATACATAGACATACACATATGTGTATAAAGAAGGCTGCTGAAAAGCATTGGCCTCTCTGTGGTGGGGATATTCTTTGCTGTCCATTGTTCATGATACTGAACTATGCTTGCTTGGGGAATTATGATATACTTTAAAAGAAGACCATCTGAAGAGACAGAATGAGAGGGCTCCTTTGTATCCATCTGATGTTCAGAGACTTCTGTGTTTAGACAATTTCTGCTATTGTAGTAGGAAAATGAAACAAATTCTACAGAGGTGCCAAATGGTCATATCTTTAAATGTTGCTCCAGGTGGATTTTTTCCATTAAAAAAATCCAACCTTTAGCACCACTTGGAAGTAAGGGGATGAGGTAGGACAAATGGGACAAATAAGAATCAACAATACAAAGGGAAATGATAACTGTTGAATACCATTTGATGGAAATTATTCATATCAAGTTTGCCTCCTATCCTCAGCTCTCCAGTGATGTTACAGCTGTGTATTATTTAGACACTTGGCCATCTTTCATTACACAGAAGCCCAGTGCTGAGGCCCATTTAATCTCTTGTTGTTAGAACAATAGATTTTACTATTCCGTACTGAGTAGGGGCAAAGCAGATCTCAGTACTTGAGCTCTACCCACGTGTTGGAGGGGCCCATTCTACTTAGTAGTGCATTTGTTTCCAAAGAGGTACAGAAAAAACCCCAGCTCCTAGGAGGGAAGAGGCAGCTGCATTTCCTAACAATTCAGAACCATTGTAGCTCTCCTTCAAAGTGGTCTCCTGCCATCCAGTGTGTGGAAAATCTGGATAACTGTGAAGCACAGGTTTACATGGAGATTTCTTTCAGTCTCTGAAATTAACTGGGGTTAGCATTTTTTTCCAATATGATCGAGCCCTCTGAAGGGATTTACATTTTAATACTGGCAAACAGCTGCTTTCTCTATCTTGTGGGGGTAGTAGGGACTAAAGTTCTTGGAGATACAAAGGCCCAGAAAAGGTCAACTATCATGAACAGCCAGGTTTTTTGTTTTTTGCTTTTTTGGTGAGGCAATCAGGGTTAAGTGACTTGCCCAGGGTCACACAGCTAGTAAATGTCAAGTGTCTGAGGCCAGATATGAACTCAGGTCCTCCTGCCTCCAAGGCTGGAGCTCTATCTACTGCACCACCTAGCTGCCCCATGAGTGGCCAGTTTTGTTTGTAAGAATAACCAGGCTTTGTTTTCATTTCTAGACTTTGCTCTGGTCCTCACTCTCCATTTAGGCCCTCAGGGGAAGATTCCAAGAACCAGGGTATGTGACTTGCAAGGTCATATCAACTCCAAGCAACCGAGTGGCTCCATCAAATTAGGAAGCACAGGAGACAATAAGGGACTCATATCTCAGACATTTAAAATAGGCCAGCGACTCATTCAGCAACCACCACAAATTGGCCATAACTTAGAAAAACAAAACTTGTGGCTCCTATGATCATTAGGCATCCCCAGTGAAGTGTAATTAACATCTGGCCACGGGTAGCTGTGATGTTTCCTACCTAGGGTCCTCCTTGTTGAGAGGGAGGATGTCTCAGGCCATGTTGCTTGGTATAATGATATACAAGTCTGGAAACAAATTTCCCAGCAGCAGTATTCTTGTATAGACTGAATAAAGGTTATTTTCTACAGGGAGGTTTCTTATAAGAAAAAGCAGTAGGGGAGGCCATAGAAGTGAGAGGATCCTATGGAGCTTTTTGTATTTAACGACAATCAATGGGTTTTATGGAAAATCATTGAGCAAAATGTGAGCTGCAAGCTCACTACCCCATACTGATGTTATTTATAACCTTAGTCTTAAACTGCAGGAAAAGTACACTTCCGTTCTTTGGGGAATACATTAAAAGTATAAAGAGCAGATAAAAAGACAGAGCATTTCATGGATCACCAAGAACAAAACCCACTTAAATGAGTTTAGAGTTGGTTTCTTGGCTTTCCCTGATGGAAGAGGACTATAAGGCATTGCCCAAGAGGAAACAGCTCTTACCTAAGTGCCTTTGTTACCTCATGCATAAACATAGGATTAGAGGAACACACATACATGCAGACATGGGCTTTGCTCCTGACTACTTAACTGGGATCAACTCTAACTCCACAATAACTGAGCTGTGTTTTCACTAAGGGGAGGTCAAATATACCCAGACATTTTCTCTTCTGCCATTTAAGAACTCCCTTCCTTCCTTCCTTCCTTCCTTCCTTCCTTCCTTCCTTCCTTTTTCCCTGCCCCTCTCCTTCTCTACCTTCCTTCCTCATCTTTCTTCCTCCTCCTTTCTCCCTTTCTTCCTCAACTTTCTTTTCCCCTTGCCTTCCCTTCCCATGGTTTCAAACTTGGAGGAAGGGAAATCTCAAAAACCCTTGCATGGTAATGGTTAATTTTCTCCTTCTGTTTTTCCTTGGGGAGCCCCCATTGTCAATTCTTAGCAGAAATGTTGAAAGCTCTGACATAAACAGGGACAGCCAGCCTCAAAACATTTGCTCAATAAGACTAATTCTAGAAAATGGCCTAGGGAGAAGATGCCTCCAAGTGCATCCGCAGCAGCAGCAGGGAGGGCATCCAGGCTCATTGCCTGGTGTTTTCTTTTGTTACCCAGAGCAAAGACTTGAGCCCCCTGGGAGGGACACACACACACACACACACACACACACACACACACACACACACACACACACACACACACACACACACACACTGATTCCTCTATCAGGTCCCCTTCCATCTCTTGCTCCCCCAAAGGTTCTGACCCTCAGTTCACAGTACACATGATCAATTTCCACTTATTTCAATGAGGGCCATCCAGTTCCCGTGCTTTGTCTTCTCTCCTGCCTCCCCCCTCCCCCCCACCTCTGCCCTCACCCCTTGCATGCTTGAGGAAGAACCGCAGGGTAGGAAGGAAGCAAAGGCCAGAGCCAGGCCCAGAGGCAAGGAAGTTTGAGCCTGGGTGGCAGAGGTGTTACCTGCAGATGGCAGACTGGCTGTATGCTGGGCCTTCTGTGGCACTTAAAGCCTGGCCAACCTGGGTCTGCGTCAGACCGAGAGACAGGCGCCGGATTTTAAAAGCTTTGGCAAATTCTCGGATTTCTTCCAGATTCACCCCATCCACCTCACCCGCTGCTGTCTGTGGATCTGTGGAGGTGGTTTTTAAAATGGCATCAATATTGTAAAGCACATGGAGGCAACGTCTGCTCAGAATGGCTTATAGTGAAGGGGACTTTTTATTGGGAGGGCATTAGAGATTCTCTTTCTGGGGGTCTAGACTTGTGATTTCCTTCTATCTTCCAAACCATCCCATTTTCCAATTTATCTCAATTCTCCGCAGCTTACCACAAATCAATAAAATTTTATGAAATGCCTAATATTTGCCAGGCACTCTGTGAGGCATCGGGCATAAAGACAAAAACACAAAAGTTCCTGCCCTCCAGGAGTTTATGTTCTATTGGCAAAAACAACATGTCCATAGATAAGCAAATACAGGATCTGTCTCTACAAAATAAATCTCTACAAATAATTTTTTTTTTGGAAGAGGAAGAGGGTCCCTAGTACTAATGCCAGAGATAATCAACCACAAAGGCTGAATTTGGGAGGGGGTGGCCTTGAACTGTGCCTCGAAGGAAGTTTTGATTCCAAGAGCTGATGATGCAGAGACTAACCCAGAAATCACCAGAGCACAGAGATGAGAGAGAAAGAGAGAGAGGGGGCATGGCATGTGTGGGCAAGAGCAAACCGGCCAGTTTGGCCAGAAAAGAGAATTCTGGACAACTCTCCTGGTTAGTTTCCTCAAACTCAAACTCAAACTGCCTTCCTGCAGCTTCCCCATGCGTTATTCCTCCTTCTGCCCTTTAGGGCCTGAAGAATAGGCCTAATCCCTCTCACACACAACCACCGTTCAAACACTGGAACAGAGCTAACATGGCTCCTGGATTCTTCTTTTCTGCAAGCACAACGGTCCCAATTCCTTCACCTCTCTTTCTGTGGCATATACCCATATCCCTTCTCACCATCCACTTTATTTCCTCTGGACATTCTGCAGTATTCCATTGTCCTTCATACAGCCTGGTGTCCAGATCTAAACACACTACTCCAAGTGTGGTGTGATCCGGGTGGAGGGCAGCCATGGGGAATCTATAGCCTTATTCCTCAGAAGAGAAGATTCTCTTTCTGCAGTCCAATTTTACATTAGCTTTTTTTGGCTGCCACATTCCACTATTATATTGAGCTTGCAGGCTACTAAAGCCCCTAGATCTTTTTTTAAAAATTGCTATTTAGACATGCTTCTTTCATTTGATAAAATTGGTTTTTTGAATCCAGGGATGAAGCTTGAATTTCATCCCTATTATATTTCATCTTATTAAGACTTATAGTTTTAGAGAGTTGCTTCTTCTCCCCTCCCAGGGTACTAAGATAGTAAGGGATTTTCCTGGGGCCCCACAGATAATATGTGTCAAAGGCAGGATTGGAATTCAGATCTTTCAGTCTCCCAAGGTTCTCTTTGGTACATCATGCTGCCTCTTGCTGGAGGAATTTGTATGGTGAAACATTCTTGTGTTTTGCTCTGAGGAAGGCACCTGAGAGATTGTTTAGCCTTTGAACTACACAGTGAAGAGTGGTGGTGGGGGGGAATGAGGCCCAGAGAGATGAAGTGACTCCCACGATCCCATGGTGAGGGTTAGAACCAGAAGCCAGCGATCCTACCTCCTGCTCCAGGGGCTGCTCTGTCTCACTACATCACTTCTGCCCTCTAAGCTTTTTACAAGTCTCATATTGGTCCTTTGGAATATTAATGTATCGTCAGTTGAGAATGGGTATCTGGCAGTCAAGGGCTCGAGAAATGGATTGAGGAAGAGGTGCTTGGGTGACATCTTGAAGGAAATGAGGAATTCTGAGGTTGAGGGGAGGATGGAATGCATCCCAGTCATAACAGATGGCCAGTGTAATCGAATGGAGACCAGAGATGGCATGCATGAGGAACAGAGAAGCCATGATGTCTTGGTTTTACAGGTACGGAAACATACTTAGAGAGGTTAAGAACATGCTTGTGGTCACAGCATATTCTCCTCATAGAAGAGGTGCTTTTTTGTTTTTGTTTTTGTTTTTTTCTTTTGTAGGGGGAGGTGGTGAGGGCACTTAACAAATAAGCTAGCTCAAATGTAAAAAGAAGTAGAGTTCTTTTTGAAATACTTTAATTGGGTCATTCAGTGTTTAACAGCTAGTTTCTTTATAGAAAGTATCCTTTCAGCTTTTTCATTCACTTAGCCCATCAAGGTAGCTGGGATTTACCATTTTCGCTGTCATCTCACTATGATCTGTGATTTTTAATTTTCACAGTAGATACTTACCTAGAAAAATCATGTTTATGATGCTGTAAGAGACCGTTTGTGCCTTTCCTATATAGTGGCTTATTGACAGAGGCTGCCTTGGTCCAAGACAGAGCAAATAATCCAAGAGCTGCAGCCCAAGAAGGCCAGGTTGGTGCTAGAGAGCTTTGGAGAGCTCAGTCTTCTCTAGGGAGGTAGCACTAATACTGGGGAGAGAAGCTTCTTCCTCTCAATTCATGATCCTCGTATAAAGAAGGCAGGAACCCGCATGCAGGCAGTAAAAGATGAAGATGATGGAGAGTTCCAAAAGACACCCTCAGATTTCCTGAAGGGAAGCCATGCTCTCAGAAAGTCTTTGCTGTTTTATGTCAACTCATTGGGTCTAGAGACTCCGTTGGGGAGGAATTTCTTAGCACAATTACCCACTAATTTCTGTAAATTCAAGTGGCCGCTCAAAGACTGGGGCTGACTGTTATTTTGCTGGCCTTCGGTCCCCCAGGACACTAGTCCTTTCACAGAAGGCTCAGTTCCACCTCCCAGTCATTCCCATGGGTGTTCACCCTAGGACTTCCCACATAGAACAAAGCCTCCCTGAAGGTCAGTGTTCAGTCACTGGGATTGGCTCAGGACCTCATAGAACTTCTCTTGATCTTTCTTTTGAGAAAGCAGGGACTTCACAGGCTGCTCTCTCCTCCTGGTGACTGGATACTTCTTTGTTGGTATGGCTGCTGGCAGACATGAAACTTTGTTTGGCTTCAGTCTGTCCATGCAATACCCTGGGTATAGGTAAAAGATTCTGTGACTGCCTATGGACAAGAATAAATCTAGCGTTCTTCAAAGAATGAGGATTTGGGGGGCTAGGTCACCATCACGTCTCTGTCCCTTTCATCTTCCAAAACTCACATAATTCCTTATCTGATGATATCCTGGTCATAGACGGGCTCCTTCCACAATTTCTGATCCAAAGCCTATAGCAACTTCAAAATTTCCTTATGGGTCCTGTAAAGCCACAAGTATTCCCGTGGTGGACTTTATTTCCTTTCTTTGTCTTTCATTATAAGATTTTGTGGGGAATTTTGGTTCAGAAAGATGGTAGATGGAGAGAGGTTCCTAGCATTTGGCATAGGAGATAGGAAACTTGGTATGGAAGTCTTGAGGTGCTTGAAGAATGAGGGCAGACCAACTCCAGTTTGTTTTGAATACTATAGGAGACTATGGGATTATTAGTGGCAGCAAGCTTTAATTCAAATCAAATGAACAAACATTAAATATCTACTGTGCCAGGGACTGGTACAGTAGGCACCTGCCTTTAAAGGCCTTATATTCTACTTGGGGTGATGCAACACATGCATGAATGAGAGTAGTATTAATACAGCTCATATCTCTGTCCCAGCTGATGAGCTCTTGGGCCCAAGCCTTGGCTTCATCTCTCTCACAAAGCTGCTGAAGTTGGCAATTCCAACTAAGTTGATACTGAAAAAAAGATGAAAGATTAGGGAAGAACTGATGCATCAGGGGAGTGGGGGTGGGCAGGGATTCAAGGAGAGAGAAGGATGGCTAGAACAGGAGGAACCTCTCCTATGCTGGTGTCTGCCTCTAACTCCACACCACCAATCCACCATTCCATTAGAAGTGAGGATACACATCAACTGTTAACTTAACTGAAACAACTGGAGACAGGATTGGAGATACCAGTCAGCCACAGAGTGGTGAATGAGGAAAAGTGGCTGGAGGTGGAATCAGTGCCTTAGGTCCTGAGTTCAACTCACTGACTGGGCATTGATACTTCAGGTGGCCATGAGTTGCAAAACAGATGGGGGATGCTCATCAGTTCCCAGAATTGGCAGCTAATGGAGACATTTGAGCTCAAGCATATGGACAACATCCTGACAATTCCCAAGTTCAATCTCTGTCTATAGACTATCTAGGCTTTGGAGAAGTGAAAGATTCATAGTTCACATGAAAGATCTTTTTAACATATTTTGCTATTCTTTTTGCTTCTATGAATATGAGTAAAGGATATATATATAGTTAATTTCTCTCTCTCTCTCTCTCTCATTGATTTCATTATGCTGCTGAGATGAGGGACATAGGCAGAGCTTTAATTAGTTGGTAGGGTCTGAATGAAGTTTACCTAGATAAATACACTTAGATATAGACCACAAAATAGATGCTTAATCAATCAATTTGGTTGGTTGTTGTCCTTTGTTCTCGAAGACGACCAAAATGACCTCACTATGCTACAGGCAAGTTACAGTGTGTCTGACTGTGGCTGATCAGACCAATATGAGCTTGGAATGTTCTACCACAGGTCGGGCACAAATAGTCCATGTGAGCATTTGGGCTGGATTCTCTAAATTTGTGCATCTCACATTTCTTTTGAGTTACTTCAATTCTGCTTTGCTTATAGAGCACAGCACCTTCTCTGATGTGGGCACACCATGCTGAGCAGTCCTGTGCCGGTGTTTCCCATATCACTCAATCAATTCCAAAGTTCTTAAGAGAGACCTTGAGAGTGTCCCTGTATCACTTATTCTGCCCACCATAAGAACACTTTCCCTGTGTGAGTTCTCCATAAAATAGTCTTTTTGGCAAGCATATGTTTTGCATTTGAGCGTGGCCAACCCATTAGAGTTGTGCCCTCTGAAGCAGAGTTTGAGAGCTTGGCAGTGTAGTTGGAGAAAGGACCTCAGTGTCTAGTATCTCATCCTGCCAGGTGATCTGCAGAATCTTCCTAAGACAATTCAAATAGAAGCAATGCCGTTTCCTGGCATGGTTCTGGTAGACTGTTCAGGGTTCATAGGCATACAA